CCTCAGCCCCCCAAGTAGCCGGGATTACAGATCTGTGCCACAACACTTAGCTAATTTTTGTATTTTTAATAGAGGTGAGCTTTTGCCATAGTGGCCAGGCTGGTCTCGAGCTCCTGACCTCTGGTGATCTGCCCATCTTGGCCTCCCAAAGTGCTGGGATTATGGGCATGAGATTCTTACAAGGATACAATACCTAGATTTTATGACTTACTTTATATAGGGACTTTCAAAAAATAGAAAATTCAAAAATGGTTTTAAGATTTCTGGCTGTAGAAATTAGAAGAGAGTTAGAAACATTGCCTGAAATAAATTCCAAAGAGTAAGTGTCTTTAATTAGGACAAGGGCAGCTGAGGAGGTTAGGAAAAATAAATATCATTCATGACTTCAACATGATATTCAAGTAGAGATGTCCCAGAAGTTTTGAATAAGATGTTTATAGAAAGTGACTAGTGGATAGATTTTTACCTGTTATTATCTTTACTAACAATGATGTGATCTATAACATGAAATGATTATTTTCTGAAGGCTCTACTTGAGGAGAAGCAAAAAGAAGAAAACATAGAGAAAATGAAAGAGACAGTTTCTCGGTTTGTACAAGATGCTACCATAAGAACCAAGAAAGAAGTAAGGATATTTAATTATATTTAAAATTGAGAATTTAAGTCACAACTAAAAACTAAATTCTACCTAGATATTTGTAAATTAAAATTAAAATGCTTGCCTACATAAAGAAACTGAGTAAAGACTCCTTTCCTTTAAAATGATCTCCAGTAGGATAGTGGAGATCATTTATCTGGTGGAAGACTATACTGTATAGTCTTCCACCAGATAAAGATGTTCCTTTTTTTCCTTATCTGTATTTTTTGTGCACAATATTATTTCTTTTATGTATTTTTATGGGAAATATTATTTCTTAGGTGAACTGTAGTTTTAAACAGGTTTTCAAAACTTCATCAGTTCAGAAAAAATAAAGTTGAAATATTTCCTTTGTCCCAAGAAATGAGTGGTAGAATTTTCATTTCCACAAAGCCATTGTATACCATTTCTTTCTCCAAAAGTATTTCTTAGAAATCAATTACTTTTACAGAATCATAGTGTAAAGAAAAAAAAAAGAAATCTATTACTTTGTCATTATCTGACCAAAGTTACATAATTTCCCAAGATAAAATTTTTAATTTAAGGCAGAGTCCAAAGTAAACCCTGTGCTTTCTAATTTGTAATATTCTGTATCCTTTCTGCAGGAGGTCTGTCCTATTCATGAAGTTGAGAGTACTCTAATTTTGAACTGTAGCCTAAAATATTCTCGACATATTTTAAAAATAAATATTAATAAATTTTATGTATTTTTTTTTCTTTTATTTTATTGCATTTTAGGTTTTGGGATACATGTGAAGAACATGCAAGATTGCTGCATAGTTACACACGTGGCAGTGTGATTTGCTACCTTCCTCCCCTTCACATATATCTGGCATTTCTCCCCATGCTATCCCCCCCAACTCCCCAACCCCCACTGGCCCTCCCCTATTTCCCCCCAACTGACCCCAGTGTGTAGTTCTTCCCTTCCTGTGTCCATGTGTTCTCATTGTTCAACACCCGCCTATGAGTGAGAACATGCAGTGTTGATTTTCTGCTCTTGTGTCAGTTTGCTGAGAATGATGGTTTCCAGGTTCATCCATGTCCCTACAAAGGACATGAACTCATCGTTTTTGATGGCTGCATAATATTCCATGGTGTATGTTGAACGATGAGAGCACACGGACACAGGGAGGGGAGCACTACACACTGGGGTCAGTTGGGGGGAAATAGGGGAGGGACGGTGG